GCGAGGGAGGGAGGGAGGGAAGGAGGGGGCGGGCACGGCGGGGGGGAGGGATCTGACGCACACGGAGCCGCAGCACAGGCTCTATTCAGCGGCGCTGGCTGGGCTGAGATGGAAGTTAGTTTCTATGTAGCAGAAATAGGAAACAAATGAAGCAAAACTGCCCAAAGAGGGGAAATGCCGGGAGGACGGGGCTCACTCTCACGCACGCACAGAGACACTTAGGGAGCACTCACACGCTGGGCCAAGTCGGGATCGCGCCGCCCTGCCCGACTTGAACGCTAGTGTTTGCTTTCTGTCTTGCCATGTGCATGTGTATAAATGCTGCGGATTGGCATCTGTGTAAGTCTTGTCCTGCGATATTTCTGCAGCCTGTGCAAGTGTTGTGTAATTTATTGGAGTGCGGTGGATTGCAATAGAGGTTCGGGCTGCCCTTTTTTTTTTTTTTTTTTTTTGGGTGCAGCACTTGCGTTTTGCAAACCCGTTATTTCCCGAAGCCACCTCTGCATATTTCTTTTATTACTACCATTGCTTGAAGCGTTCGATTTTTTTAAAAAAATGTTTTGTTAAACGGACAAGAGGAACTCCAGATTTGTACTTCAGACCATCTTTCCCCCCTTATTACAAAAAGGCTAGTGATGGCTAATTAGGGATTTGGGAGTGAAGAACCTTAAAGCTTTTTAAAGTGTTTACAAGAAGGGCTAATATAAACCTGAGGGAAAGGAAAAGACGCTAGCTAATACTTATCTCTAACTGATATGGAGGTAAATTACTGACCGGTCGATAACCTACCGAAGGTTATTGAAAGAGTATATTACAGTTTTAGCCAAGGTGATTAGTGATTAAATAATTTAAATTATCTGTGTATCTTGCAGTTGACTTCGTCATGCTAATTAATGGCTTCTAATTTGAGGTGTAAACCATTCCTGTTTACAGTTAATCACGGGAGGACTTCTTAAAAACAGACGAAAAGGAGAAACAAAAATCTTCCGTAAATCAGGATGTAATTACTGGTTTTATATGATAAATCGTTCATCTTTGTT